GGGTCTGGAGGTGTGGGCCTAGGGACGTGGCACCGTCAGGGAGGGGGTGCTGGGACATGGGGGGGTTGGTGTGGGGCTATGGTGCTGGAAGGGGGGGGTTGGGAATAGGGGAGCCCCCGGGGTTTGGGAGATGGAGGGGCAGCGGCTGCTCAGACCAGCTTTGATATGAGATGCAGGGGGGGAGGTGAGGGGAACACAAGTGGGGGACCCTGCTTAAGGGGCAACCCCTGATGGGGCTGGTTTCGTGCTGCCTTTGTGGGTGTTTGGCATTTGGCAGGGCTGGCTATGAATCTCCATGCACGCTGGGCTTTCTTTTTTTTCCCCTATGGTTTTCCATTTGTCATTTTTCTTTAATATATGAAAGCTTCATTTTCCTGGGTGGGGTTCTGTCTGTTTCTACACCCGTGTGTGAACTTTCTGATTCTTCTGTTGCTATTTTGTTTTGATTGGTTTGTGTTTTTTTCCCTGATAGATTTAAATCATCCACAGTAAAAGAGTGCATCCATGGGATACTGGTGGAGAGGCTGGCCAATGTGCAGTTCATCCCAGATGAAATGTCTGAGCTTACACAGTCTTTATCAGAGGCAATAAAAGACAGACTGAAAGGTAAGGAGTTTTTCTAGGGAAGTAGTTCCTTTTCTTACTGTCTCCTCCTCCACTGAAAAATTCCTTCTTTCCTCCTTAATTGTTGAAATCTCTCTCTTCCCCACTGGCTGACTCAAGTTTGCTGTTATGACACGTTCTGGCCCATATGTTCCTTGCCTGCAGAGCCAGAAACCTTGTTCAAGCAGACAAGATTTCATATAGACTGGCCGGTGTGGGGCTGCAAGGGGAAAGAAGGTTTATTAGAGAGAAGGAAGAAAGGATCCTTCATTGCTTCTTGCTTCAATAAACAGAACCAGATCTGCTTTTTTTTCCTGCTGCAAGTTAGATCAGAGTTGGGTTAGAGTGAAAGAGCAGGAAGAACACAGAACAAGGCCCCGTGGGAGCAGCAAAGGGGGAGAGTTAGGAAGACAGTCAGCCCTAGGAGGGGTGTGACTTCTGCCTTGCAGCACTGGGAAAGGTCATGGTGGTGCTCTGCAGGATGCCCTCCAGCATTTTTGAGTGCAAGAAGTGAATTTCAGGCTCCAGCAGGTGTTTCCTGTGTTCAGTGCTGGAACAAGTACACAGATGTGAGTTGGCACGGCCACTTTTTTTCCACCTTCTTCCTGAGGACAGCTTGTTGCTTCCATCTGCTGGGCTGGCCAGACACAGTGACACAGACATACATGGATTTATGCTTCTCCCAGAGTTACACATCTGCTTTAAAACCAGCAGCAGCTGCAGTCCCAGCACATGTGAATGCTGAGCTAATATGCACAGGGCTTGGCTTCAATGACTTGTAAACACACTCACAGTAGCCCAAAGCGAGTCTGGCCCAGTGTGGCCCTTATACTGGCTGACATCTCTGAAAAGCATCGAGGTAGAGGTTGTTACCAGACACAGCACCTTGTGTTCAGTTCTTCAGTGGAAACAGCACAACACAGTCTTTCCAGGACACTACTGTGTTGAAGACAGGCATTAGGATCTATATGTTATTTTAAACATGCTGCTTCTGGTTCGGCTTCTGGAGCATTGCCATGGCCTGATTGGATCTAGCCTGTGCCCCAAAGGTATTTCTTTACTATTGTAAAACAACAGTGTATCTTTGCAGACACATAATGTAGACCTGCATATGCTTTTATGTGGCCTTTAATCCCAGCTCAGAAGCAAAGGAAACACGTGGCAGAAGAATCTCTACAATCCTTTTGCATCAGAACAGTTTTAAAATAAGCCAGGAGTTTTTTCAGATTGGATTCTGTCCACCAGCAGCCTTATTTACATTCTTTTCTTGTGTGCAGTTCTTTAAAGTTGTCAAAGTAGAATGCTGACATATAGTGGGGCTGTTCAGGGTTGTCTTCTGCCTTTGATGCATCTTTGGATGGATGCCAAATACTCTTCTTGTTCTCAGCTTAACTCCAGTAACACCATGGTCCTCTGTACCTAGGAAAATGAAGCTGCAAGGCAGTCTGACCATTTCGCCAATTGCATGGACTTGTACAGAACAGTTTATTTGTAACCAGACTCTTTAGCCTTCTGGGTCCTGTTTTGGGCTCATATTTTAAACAAGTTGTTGCTCTCATTATTATTTTTTTGCTCTCTCTCCAGACGAGGGATTTGACAGGTACAAAATGGTGGTGCAGGTTGTGATTGGAGAGCAGAGAGGAGAAGGAGTAAAGTAAGTTCTGCATTTTTAAATTGTATTTCTATCCTTTTTGTTGTATTTGGGTGTGGTTTTTTTCCTTTGGAAGCTGCTTCCAACTTCCCTAAGTACAAAGATCTCTGCAGATGAGAAAAGTGTAAAGCACTTTCGTTTCTCTTTAAGTGGCAAGTGAGGGCTTGGACTGTGGCTGATTGAATTGCCTGGTGATAAGTGGCTGCATGGTGGCTCTTAGCAAGCTGAAATGCTGAGAAGCATTTGTGAGGAGTGCTGCTGAGAGGCATTTTTATTCACAATAAACTAGACATATACCCAGTCTGCTCTCAAGGTCCTCCAAGGAACACCAGAGCCAGGGTAACTCGCTTCTGTCTAAAGTACTTTGTTTGCATTTAATCCCCCCCAAGTAGACAGTTTTCAGAAGTTTAGATTTCTGTAATCCCCCTGCAGTCATGGGAATGAGCCTGGACTGTGGGTGCTGAGCACTTTCAGTCCAGCTCCAGATACCTGCAGTCAGACAAAAGAATTCCTCCTGGCTGCAGTTGTGGGCTGTAGCTTTCCATTACTAGTGAGCAGGGAAAAGACAAAAGAGAACAGCCCACAAGACTGCTTTATCTGCTGGGCTTATCTTTTATTATTGTGCCTGGTACTCCAGCAGAAGATACGTGCAGCAGAGCTGTAATCAGATCTGCAGCCTCAATGTTCTGGAGGTCAGGAAGGAATGTCTGTACCTGCTGCTCAGGCTTTTGTCAGGAATGTCTGTCTGCAGGCAGACTTCTCCAGAGCCCTGCACCAGGGTGAGTTGTGTAATGAGGTGGTCTGATCTGAAATGCAAAGCCAAGCAACACAGACTGACAGAGCAATGGGGGACATTCTCTGGTTAGCAATTGGCAGAAGGCAAAAGAAGCATGATCACTTACATCCTTAATGCAAAATACTGGGTAACCAGGGTACTCCAGGGACAGAGTGCAATACTGATTTTTAAAATAAATTGAAAAAAGACGCCAAACAGAATGACCCTGCAGGCTAAGGTAATAGGGAAAAAAATATTAAATTCAGCAATCTCATAACAATAAGTCTTTATGTGTAGGGACTAGGAACAATGCGCTGTGCCACATCAGGGACTTGTCAGCCAGGATTGACTGGGGCAGGCCAGGAACTGGGCATTTGCAGCACAGAAAGGTGAGGGTCAATGACATTAGACAAGGCAGCAGTGAGGTCTCATCTGTCATATCCTGTTACGGTCCAGTTGGTTGTCTTCAAGTTAAAGCTAGGACTGAAGCAGGTGTAGAAAAAGACCAGCAGGATGGTCAGGGAATGGAGAGTATAGATATGGAAGGACTAGAAGAGCTTAGCTCATGGTCTAGTAACACATCTGCCAAGGAATATGATAGCTCCCTATAAATAAGTTGGGAGTATGTACCATGAGGGTGCAGGAGGTGAAGGACAAGAACAAATAAACTAAATTAGCCACTGAGATGCATAGGCCAGAAGTAAAAGATTCTGAAGCACCATAGTAATGAGGTTTCAAACCCTGCTGCACGGTGGAGGTGGCAAGGTTTGACAGCTGATGAGTTTGAATAGAGAGCTTGATCCACATAGACAGGGGGTTAGAGGATGTGGTGGAATTCAACAGTGGAGGTCTAGGCTCAGGATTCAGAACACTTCCCATTTCCTTTATCTTTAAAGGAAGCTCAGTTTGTTTTTTGAGGACAGTGCCTGTCATCACTTAGGTCCTTACACATGAACTCTGGGTGATGGCTCCCCTGTGTCTCCTTTGTCTAGTATGGCTGCACGATGTTTCTGGGATGCTGACACTGACAGCTATGCCCACGACGTGTTCATGAATGTAAGTATCAGCTGCTTTACCCTGGGGAAGTGTAAAGCTACTTGCTTTTGGATGAGAGGCAGAATGACCTTAAACGTGGAGCAAAGAAAAAACAACCACTAGAGGGAAGGAGCCAAACCTCTTCTGAAATAGTATTATTTATGTCCTCTTTCACAAAACAGACTTAGATATAATACCCAACATAATAAAACTGATTTCCTCACTAGGTCAAAAAGTCATTATAGTCCCACCATTTTACAGGTGGAGAGAAGAATCATAGAATCATAGAATCTTAGGGGCTGGAAGGGACCTCGAGAGATCATCTAGTCCAACCCCAAAGAAACACGAGATAAAGTCTTCTCTTACATGCTTTGCTGAACTGAGTCCAGGGATGTGCAAAAGTCAGGGGTTTGGATATTAATAACACCTAAATTATATCCCAATAATACCCAAATTTTACTCAATAATAGTAATGTATGTTTTAAACTGACACCTAAACACCCATGGGTCTGTGGGTAAACTGAGGCACTTCTGGCATTCACACTGACCTGGATTAAACCACAAGTGAGGTTAATAGGAAGCTAAATAAAAGAGAAAAAATGGCAAGATATTGCAATAGAAGGTGGTGCTGTGGTCCAGGTGTTCCCTTAGGTTAGCCTTTTCAGTTAGGCTAGCAAAGGGCTTGCCTTCACTAACACGGAGCCTGCCTGTTTTCCACAGGACAGCCTGTTCTGTGTGGTAGCTGCATTTGGCTGCTTCTACTATTGAAGATGGTGAACATTGCAGAGAAGGACAGAGGTGGGGCAGAACACTTTGGGCTATTTTTTGTTAACATGCACAAAAGCATCATGTTCTTCCTGTAGTACCCAACAAAAAAAACAGCTCCCACAGCTGCACACTACAGCATTCCTTCTTCCTTGTGGTTATTGATATAGCTTTAAGCACAGTATTATTAGGTCCTTTATTTAAAAGACCCTTTGTTTTTATACAGTGTTTCAGTTTTGTCCTAAAAAAGTATATTGCCAATAGCTGTTGTTTCTAAGACAAACTCAACTTTTGTTCTGAAAGGGTTCTGCTGCTTTTATTTTTAATTTCTGAAATGAATTATATTTATAGGAAATGTAACAAAATAAATTTATGTATTTAATACTTCCTTTCCTGTGGGATTGACCCTTGCCATTTCCATGTCCTTTTCCCCCACTCTAAAAGATACACTAGCCTTGCTTGTCTGTGCTTCTCAGATGAGCGTTTTCTGAAGATTCTTTCTAAATTAATCCATGAAGCCAACCTCATATTCTGGTTATCCACATTTGTTCCTGTGACTCCCATAACAGTTGGGCTGTGGATCCCAGCTGCGTCACACAGATGGTATTAATTGATAGGAAGACAAGGTATTTAGGACATGAGGTCAGGCCAGCAGCCTGCACACCCTAGGACTGCCTGCTGTAACTCCTAATTGGTTTGGTGCAATTTGGCACCTGTGGATGCTGTGGGTAATCCCTGCTCCTTGCCCTCTTCAGCAGATTCCACAAGTGCTTTCTCAATCTTTGCGTCTGCCATTGGGATACAAGGGTGGGTGTTTGGAGCCCAAATTTGTTAGGGCTCCAGCCTCAGAAAGGAGGAGCAGAAAAGGCTGCTGTAAATCAGAAAAGGAGTGCCAAAGTCTCTTATCTCCCCAGAAGTTAGAGGAACAGGTTGGTTCCTGGGAGATGGGGTGCCACAAGAGTGCATCTCAGGTGTCTGTTGGAAGATGGGATGAGTTGCTCTATGGTGATGCCTTTTCTCTCTGTGCTGACCAAGGAGCAAGGGCAGCTGAACCATTTCAGTGGCATGAATGGCTTTAGAGTGCTGAAGTCGGGTGAGGTGCATCCTGGATCCTGCCCTCACTCACTGTTGGAGCAGAACACACTGCCCAGCAGCTCTTGGAAAGCAGGGAAGTAACAGCTGACAATGCGTCTTCTTGATCACTCTTGGCTACTCTACTGGAGGAGGCACGTTCCTGTTTCTGTTACGTTTGTTTGAAAGTGGCTTCCTCTCATTTTCCTCTGATGGGAAGCAGAGGATGACCTCTCCAGCGCAGTCACTGCCTGCGGCCGCCCCTTGTCACGGAGCTGCAGAGGCGATGCCCGGTTCTGTGCAGTTCCTGCACGAGTCTGGGGGCTCGCGATCCGGGGAACAGCGAGTACCCCGCATCGAGCCACTCGCCAGGAGATGACGCGCGGCCTCAGACTCCCGACTCTTTTATCAAGTCACGGCGACCTAATGACGACTTTTCCCCTTGCGCTCGCTCTGCTTTCGGAGGCTTTTACCAGCTGTTCCCAAAGACGCGGTACGAAGCCGGCTGGGGCCGGATCGCGCGGCCCGGGAAACGGTGCTGTGCTTTCCCGGGAGAAACACCCGCAGCTGCGGCGGGAATGCCGGCCGGTGCTCCCGCATCG